TGGGTGCAGCAACGGTGATTCAAACCAGCTGCAGGGCAGGACAGGGCAGAACAGCTAACGAAAGCAATACCCAAGGACTTACACCAATGCATCTCTTGCGACAGCTGGAGCCATCCTGGTTGCGAAGAGGGCAGACTACCTCATTGTTGGAGTCTGTAATAGAGAAAGACGACGTCAAAGATGATCGAGGCGGCATCTTGACCCCACCAGACGTGATGGCTTGCTGGCGGGGGGTACTATAGCGATAAGAGACTGAGAAGCGAGATAAGAGATGATAGCGATGAAGCTCAGCTTTCAACGAGAAGATCAATTGGTGACAATGAAGCTATGCAAAAACCGTAACATTTCAAAGTGCAGCTCATGGACAACGGGATGAGCTGCCTTTGAGCATGGACAAGCTTTGCTACAGGAACCGTTTCGAAATTGGGCCAATTATGCGACAGTGGTTGCGTACACGATTAGGCCGTCGATTGAGGCGCTGATGGAGGGAGTTACTGGGAGAGCGATGAATCAATCCAATCTCTCAGAGGGTGAAGAATATCAATAACCGTATGTTGAAGAATCTAAGTTGGATGAGGCGCGAACAGAAATATTCGATCGAGAAGGTCGCTTCTTTCGAGAAAAGGTGGGTTGCAAAGAAGGATGTATGGAGGGAAGGAGGGTGAGTGGGAGGAAGAAAGTAGAGGTAGGTAGGTGCAGGTAAGTAAAGATGACAGGAGCTTGGGAGGTCGAAAAAAAGAAGAGACGGAAGAAGATGGGAGGCAAAGACGCCTTTTGGGTAAGGCGTGTGAGTGAGTAATAAGAGCAACAACGCAATAGCGAAGAAGGTACGGCCAGAGAGAGGCAAGAGGAGGGTGTGAGTCGTTGAGTGTGTGGTGTGCGGTGCTGCCGAGGGAAGCTGAGCTCGAAGATCTGGATGAGAGCTTTGGCCGACCTTGGTCCTAGGTACTAAGGTAAGTACTAAGGTAAGGTAGGTATTGAATGTGCTTTGTTCACATATCACCAGCACCAGCATCCAGGTATTTGCGACAACTGCAAAAAGAAGCTCACAAAAAGGTAAGTGCAAGGAAAATATCAGAGGGCATGAAAAAATTACCAATAACTACCTTAGGTACCTAAAGGCTTAAAAAAAAACTCTGGCGGTAGAGGGCGTGTGGGCAACAGAATCAAGGCCAGTAGCGAAAGATTCCGCGCGCAAACAAGACTCTCTGTCTGGTCTAATGTCCATTCATTGCTCACTTGACAAGGGACCACAGCCTGAGCTCTGGGCTCCTCCTCCGACTGCCATGCCATTGCTTGCAAAGCCATGCCTTGCCTTGCGCTTCGCCTCCACTGTTAGAGATCTCAGCTGCCTCGAACGACTTGATCTCCGGGGCCAATAGTATTGACGCACAGTTCCGGGGTGCGGCTACAAGCAGCTATCTAACAGTCTGCTAGGCCTATCAGAGAAACAACGAAGAAAACCTTCTCCAGCTTCCATTCCATCCTTCTATGAGCTCTGTATGGCCGCAGTAAGACATGGTACATAGAGAGGTTCTGTGGCTCATTGAGCAAGCTGGCGAAGCTTCGATCTTGCAGATTCTCAAACTCTGCATCGACACAGTCATTCCCAAAAAAAGATTCTCCAAGCGTCTGTAACATCCAGTAGCGAAGCACAGCTTCCAAGCACAGAAGCATCAGCAGCTCACCAGAACATGGCCCAAGCGCTGCGCGAACAAATCAACTGGCTACCATTGCAATGACTCGAGAGGGGCTACAGGGGTGAAGGCAGTGAGAAGAGGGGGGTGGCCGGCGTGAAGCTCTTCTCTGGACGGATGGAGGTCAAGGGCCAGGCCATTGACCCAAAGAATGCCGCCTGTAAAAGGTGCAGAAGCTCCCTAGAACGTGCAGGGGAAGCTCCAATAGTGGAACTGGTCCCTGTGCTCAGGTTTGTTGAAGATCTTTTCTTTTTACTGATATGGTAGGTAGTGCTGATAAAGTTGTTAGATTATGGCATGAATGCATACATACAGAGGTTCCCACCTCTCTGCAACACGCCCTCCTCATCATTACTAATCATATTCTCTGTCTTGAGCTTCTTGTTGTTTTTATCGGCATTCAGCAATTAACCGACTGGAACAGATCCAAATCAATGTCGCAAGAAATAGGCCGGCGTCTGAAGGGTTGGCCATGTCAAACATGACCAGGGTCGGCGGGGCCGAAGCCCATGGCCAACTGCCACTCACATATACCGTTCCTAAGCCAACTCCGGACGTGGTTATCACATGTACATGATAGGTACCTGTGCATGACTCTCGCCACGGCTATGGCCACGGGACCTCGACTACACAGAACGTTCGGTCGTCACTACCAGCTGCAGCTCAAGCCTTCACCTACGCCAGCTACTAATCCAGAGCTAGAACCGCGAATGTTGATGTGGCGTTTGAGATTCGGCGATACGCAGGCATGGACGTCAACAGAGTCAGCATCGGAGTCGTCGACGCCAACCAAAATTTCAAACCTCGCTTTGGCTTCAGGGGTATCCCTTCTACGCTTCAAGGAGCATATTGTCTTTTCAAGAACAGTTGGTAACTGACAAAATGAAGTTGAGAATGCAGGCTGCAAAGGACCCAATGGTATACGAACAATTGAGAGCCGACCCTTGACTCAGCTTCAGAAGCGATGGAGAATTAAACGCCTGCAAGCCCTGTCACCACGCTCCCGGGTCCTTTGAGACGGTGACATCACCAGCCAGGGGATACCGCCTCTCGCCCTACAGCACGGAACCGGCGGGCGTGCGCAGCCAGTCCGTTAAAGGGTCTTCCACCTCGACCGAATTGCTCGACTCAGAGTAACGCACGCTATGCCATTCACATCTACTTGGAAGGCGGTGAATTCTGATGTGTGAAACACCCAAGCTTTGTCACAAGGCCGCGAAAACGGAGGAAGGGGCAGGCTGTTGGTTTTCATCTGCAGGGTCAACTGAAAGTGCATGAACAGACTCGAAATATGCCTACTCCGAAGCAAGTAGGCGTCGCGAGGGCTCGATACGATAGCTCATACAACCAACCAGCGTTGCAGAACTTGAGGTCGATAAGTCCGGTTCTATTTTCCAGACCCTGTGAAGGCGGTGACCCCGCGCCATAACAGCACCGCGACTTTTACCAGCAGCAATCGTTAACAGAACCGCGAAATGTGCATTTACACTGATCGAATACAGAAAAAGACTTAGTCCATGCGTTTGAACCTAATAACAGCAGTTGCTTGGATGGGGGAACTGAATTGATATCTCACACCACAGTTTCCAAGTCGACAGCTCCGTGGCTATGGGACAGGTCGAGAGCTGGTAGCTCTAGCTCTGTCTAGGGGTGAGCATATCCATGTGGGGGCCGACCTCTGAAGCGGAACCATCATGTCGCTGCTCTTTTACATACTAACTTAGTAGGTAGCTGTTCAACCTACAAGAGCAATTGAGCTTTCAAACATGTGCTACAAGCGGTAACACAAAGATCCAAGGCACACCGGGTACTTTGACCATAGCACTGAAATCTTCTTTGCAGCACACGGCCTACTCTTTACTCAGGTCAGCCCCAAAACACGAGCTGTGACGATCAAGTGCTCTAAACAATACATTCCTTGTTCGGTTGCAACCCTTGTGTGTAAGCTTGGTCAGGTCAAGTTGGTCCCATGACTGTCAAAAAGAGCAACAACCTTGGAACAGGTATATATATCCATGTCAACAGAGTCAAGAAAAGACTCGAGGAAGCTTGCGCTTATCTGGACAAATATAATTACCGCGGTAGCCACAGCCTGTTCCTGGCTCTACCAGTATGCGAACTAGTTTGGCCGATGTTTACGGTTTACTGACCTTGTTGTGTGTCTGAGCCATACACTCAGGTCTTAACACTTCAAAGTTTACCAACATCGAGTCTCGACAACAAAGGACACCTTCACCTTGCTTACCGTTGTTCAATTAACTTTGTCCCGATTATCGAGGCTTCGCCAGTAGCATCGCCAGTACCATATCTAGTTGATTTGGAATAGAAACACTTTCTCAGACACGGTTTCTTACTCCACTTGAGCGATCACACTGTGATAGCTGAGAATATTCAAGTCGCAGTGGACGGTTTCATCATGCCATACAACTCGCTCGATGTCATAAGATGGTACCAGAGAACAAGGATAACTGGGTGACGAAAATTAACAACAGAATAGACAATATCGTACCTGCAAATTCGGTAACCATGACTGTTTCCGAGACAGCCTTGAACTCAAGGTGATAATTCTTAACACTCTCCCAGTCTTTCCGATGGCGAAGCCAGATGACGATCAATGACTTGGGAGTAGCATTGTGGAAGTAAAGTAGACGCTCATAGTCCAACTCTGGAATTTGCGGACATCTAGACCTTAAATTTCTCGACAGCTCATTTGCTATGTCATTCTGGTTAAAATATCTATAGTGTCGTTTGGGATACCGAACCACTCCTACATACACGATGGTATCATGGATTCACATCTGCCAAACAAATCTAAGCAACAACAAGAATAACTTATTTGCTGGGCCAATCCTTCAGCGTCACGAGAGTCACTTAGCGCTCATCTACAGGTCGAATCGTTTGGATTTGTTCGGTGGAGCTGGGTGTAAGCTGTTGAGAAGCCTAGGCGGCAACAGCCTTGTGCTTCGAGACATCGCGTCGCATAGAATCGCAGTGGTTATGAAGAAAAATGCTAAGCAATATAATTCATGTTTGATGTTAAGGTAAGTTTCGGTCTCTAAGCCAGGATCCGGAGACTCGACCTAGGGTATCTTTTGTTCATGCTATCACATCTCAACACCTCCCCAACCGCCCAGCTCGGGCTGTATCTGTCGTAAATTCCAATCCAACATATATGCATGGCCTTTCCCTTCCCTTAGGACGCAAAAATCAAACCCACATGACGACCAGAGATCTCAATGCTTAGTTTAGCTCCGGTGCTGGCTTCCGACATAGAGCAGTTCAGCTTCTACGCTTTTATGTCGCCTACTTGAGCTGCTTAAGGATTTCCGTCAAGAAATCCTCAAAGCTCAAGGTGATATAGCCGTCGCGATCGTCGTCATACTTCTTGAACACGTCTGTCATGCGTTTCAGGGAGATACAGCTTTGAACAAAGAGATCGAAGCTCATGACTCCCTCATTCCTCTTATCATAGGTGTTGAAGAGTAACTCAACAAACTGAGGGCTTAGTCGGTATCGGAAGGCGACAAGTGCGTTGTTGAACTCGGATAGAGAGATGTTGCCGCTGCGGTCGGCGTCGAATCGGTCAAATAGAGTCCTCCATGAAGCCAAGAAGGACCATAGCCCGCAGAACTCCTCAAAACCAATGGTGCCACTTCGATCGGAGTCAAACATTCGAATCATCATGCGGACAGTATGAGGATCGAAGGCGGTCCAGTCTCCGTTGACAAGGGCGGCAGAAAGTTCCCTCTCGGAAAGGTGGCCGGTGCCTAACCGGGGAGTAGTCAGCAACTGCTAAGGGCGTGGCCGATGTGATGTATTCTTGAATCGGAGGAACCTACCATCTTTGTCTACAGCGCGGAAAAGGGGCAAAAGTGAAGGGTCCGAACCACTGCCATCAATACCAGGCGAGGGAGGAGGCCGTGAGTTGGGAGCTGGGCGGTTATGAGCCTGTGGCCTAGCACCACCAGGGTTTGGAGGCGGCGACATATGGCCGTAAGCACCCTGGCCTAGGGAATGGGATCGCGCATCTCGTTGAGCAGGTAGAGGCTTGTCGTATCGAGGCTGTTGGTGGTGATACTGCTGTTGAGGGGCATATTGCTGTTGCTGCTGCCCGTGGTGCTGTTGAGGAGGGGGGTGCTGCTGCGGGGCAGGTGTCCTTGACTGTCCTGGTTTCTGAAGGGCGCAGTGTCAGTTTGAGCTTTTCGACGTTGTGATAACGTTAGCGGTGCGTGCATTTCAAACATACAGGCTCTGGCTCAGCGAATCTGTGTAAGTTACATGGTCAGCTCTGTGTTGCATCGTGACGTGTGTCAACCCATGGCTTCAAGCCGCAATCGCAGAGCCGCAATGGACAAATACGCGGGGAGACGAGGGGCAGTTTGGCTGAAGCATGGGACATACCTAGGGAGAGCATCCTCGTCGTAGGGGCGGTTATAGGCCATGATGAATGCGGGGTTTGGGTATTCCTTTCCCAGTTCCAACTCAGAAGAAAAGAGAGGCTTGTGAAGAAGTCAGGATAGAGAAAGGAGATGCTGCGTGTGAAGGGGGTTTTGAAGGTTGGGCTGAGTTGGTTTGGTGCGCGGCTGAAGAAGTAACTGGAAGGCCGCGCAGTTAATTAGTAGTTGTCCTACCTGGCCTACGTATTCACCTTAGTCTAAGGTATGACTGCACTACATTACCTTACCTACAGTGATTGACCCCAGGCCAGGGGAAACTCCAGCGCGGGGCAGTGTCGTTTGGTTGGTGGAGCGCAGGGTGAGAACAGAGCACAAGAGCGTGGCTGAGTTGGTCCTGATAGTGGGAATGTCTGGGTAAGACAAGATTCGGATTTTTTGTCCTCACTTCTTGTGCCCCAATCAAATACAATTGGCTGACATCTCAATGAAATGATTGTTTGCTTGTACAGCAAGCACAGGCTTTACAGTTCAGCCTAGTTGAAGAAGAGGTCATTAACAATGATGAAAAGACTCAGTATTCCTCGACTCGATACATATCATCCCTCGTTATCGGGTATAAAATGCCGTGGCCTTATCTGAGATGGGACAGGGAAGATAGCTACCTACCTATGAGACTAGCGCTGGGATTAGAAAGCCTGACTTGCTCCTTGTCCTTCCGCGCCAAGATGTCGGGACCCTTTATTTCTAGGGAATTTTCAGTCCGCGTATACTGCCTACCTTAGCTTTAAGGGTACGTACGGATACATAAATCGCAAATAGTCCTGGAGGCTTGAGCAGAGACAGGAGGTGTGCTCACTGGAGAGCTAAAATTAGATATCAGCATCGAAGATCATAGGGCCTCACTTCATTTTCGGGGTCTGATAGATGGGACAGTCCAGATGAAGAAAGGACCCTTCCCCTTCCCTTGGGTAAAGGTTCTCGGACACGGTAACAGCGGTCCCGTCCGTTATGTGGGTCACCAGATCTAATGACGTCGATGCGAAAAAGGAAGTAATCAGCCACTCTGAACCCGAGAAAAGCCTCAGCCACTAGAATTGAGCATCTCAGTGGAGGCGCGGAGTTGACGGGTGTCGTGTTGGAGGGGGGAGGAGAAGGAGAAATTTGTTCCATTATTGTTCTATGGTTTTCTCTAACCCCTGCTTACAAGCCTCCTCTCATTCTTAGTGGCTATCACCTCATCAGTGGGACAAGACACGATATACCTCCACTACCTAAGTACCTAGGTACGTTAGGTGTGTACATGCAACGTCTTCAATCTAATCTCTATACCTTAGGTCGAGCGAGGTTGGATCTTGAGTTCCTCCAGATACTTACTCAGCAAGAGTCACTTCGTAAAGATCAATTGTCAGTCGGATTGGATCATCTTGTATACTCTCAAGCCCAGTCAACCAATCTACACAGTTTCCTGCCTGCCTACCTTAGTCGTAAGTGGACGTCGTCGATACAGATAAAACTGCATTATTAATGTTCCCAGCTAATATTAAGTCCTCTTCACAATGCCCGATCAAGACTCATCACAACCCTCCGAATTCTGGTTATATGGATACGGGTATGTCCAGACCTTACTGACAGCACCTTCTTATTCCGTAATTAATGCCATCTACAGAAGCTTGATATGGAAGCCTCCGCCACACTTTGGTAAATCACCAGTGCCTGTCTTACACGTTCAACGGCCTTTCTCCTGACACTTGATCTTACCTGTTAGACCGTAGAATTCCCGGATGGGTAGATGGCTACGTTCGTCGTTTCTGGCAGGTAAAGCACCTTTTTACCTATATCCTAAATACTTCCACTAACATGCTTTCCAGGCTAGGTATAACTCCAAACAACCGAAGTCGAAACTCTGACTAAAAGTCGATCATAGTGAGGACCATAGAGGCACTCCTGAGGCCCCCGGGCGTGTCGTCACTCTGATCGAGAGATCCTACTGGGAACAGCTAACTGATAGCCACGACTCTGCTCCAGAGCGAGTTTGGGGGGTTGCATACCGTATCATTCCCGAGAAAGTAACCGAAGTCAAGGAGTATCTTGATATTCGTGAAATCAACGGCTACACCATTCACTACGCTCCATTCCATCCTGCCGATGGCTCCACCCCTATCCGTACTCTGGTCTACATCGGCACCCCAGATAATGAGCAATTCGTTGGCCCCCAGGACCCCCAGGAGCTCGCCGAGCACATCTTCCGCAGTCAAGGCCCCAGCGGCCTGAACAAAGACTACCTGTTGAGTCTCGATACCGCCCTCAGTGAGCTTGCTCCCGATAGTGGTGATCATCACATCCATGATCTGGCCCGCCGTGTCAGGGAACTTGAGAAGAATTGTGAGGATGAACCCAAACTCCTCAATCCGACGACTTCAGTCCATCAACAAAAGCACAGTACTGAAGAAGCAGAGGAAATCGAAGAGCCACATCACTAGGAAAAGGACAATGCGTCAAATACACAGACATCTCAGCAAGCACCTATGAATAGACTATAGATCCTCATGATGAATAGCAGACTTATAATAAGCAGCTAGATGCCGCTCCTCAGGCCTCGTGCCATCGCTTCACAACTGTCACCAATTTCAGTCTCGATTAGCCAGCGACATTCACGTATCAAAGCACATATAATCAAAAGGAACAGGTCGCATGCAGCGCCATTTCGCATTTTCGTTCTTGCCCTACAGAGGCAATCCCTCATCACTTTTTTCGCTCGAGGTTCATTCGTAAAACGGCCGTGTCAAGATGGCAAACCATACCAACCCAAATGCCATGCCATGTCCCCTAAAAACCACGCTTCAACCGAAGTGCCCGGGTATAATTCTGCGTTTCAATATGCTCACCAATGCCTGACCTTATCATCCAGCCGTACAAAGAATCCGCAAGCCCAGGAGCCGGAAGTCATCGAAGTCAACCGCCATTGAAATTTCCAATCCTCAAGGCCCGGTCGGTAACATTTCGAGCGCAATGTGAGGCACTCCACTCCGGCCTTAAGTTACGTCAACTAATATCCCCTTCCACCCTGAGGGGGTTGTTGCTGGGGAGGCATTTGAGAAGGATCAGGGTACCCAAACTGCTGCTGAGGCATGAATCCTGTATGTACTTTAGCATTGTTATGGATCGACTCCATGATTCGTTTTCAGCGTACCTTGGGGAGGGGCGCCGTAGGCTTGCTGGGGAGGGGGGTATCCCCGACCATAAGGCATAGGTGCATACATGTTCGGAGCAGGGACTTGGTAGCCGTGTCCAGGCGGAGCCATTCCGTACGGAGCTGGCCCCCCAAAGCCTCGCCCGTACCCACCTCCTCTGCCGAAGCCGCCTCGGGGGCCATTGTCGGATGCCTTGTCAACTCGAATGGTTCGTCCGTCAAACCTGGATATGATTAGATTCTGTATTGGAATGAGATAGCAGATCCGCCATGAAACAAGGAACAAAAGTGACTCGTACTCGACATTGTTCATGGTTGCGATGGCCTTCTGAGCATCGCCTTCCTGGGTGTATCGCACAAATCCAAAGCCACGGCTGCGGCCGGTATCACGGTCCTTGACCACCACCTTTCCATATCCATCGTTAGAAGTGATCTTATGGTCCAACAAACACCCGCATCAGAGCCACAGATATGCAGAACTAAGAGCGCTTTGCTTGAGGGAAAGAAAGGAACAGAGTTACCTACAGCTTCTTCGACAGGGCCGAACTCCTCAAACTTCTGACGCAGAGTAGCTTCCTCTGTGTGCCATGCTAGGCCACTTGAATGGAGTTAGCAGATGAGGCAGCCGCAAGAGAGGCTTGAGACGAACCCAATGAAAAGCTTAGACATATTGGATCGTGGGTTCTAGCGCAGACGTCAGCTTGTGTTCACGATAGACCACTGAAACAAAGATTGTCACAATGGTTGAAGATGCGCCGCAGAGGAATAGGCTCGCATAGGACCGAATCCACAGAGTAGACAGAGTCCTTGGTAGCCTCCCCGGGATCACTGTCACTAATCTGTGTGATCAAGATGCCGCGCGTCGTTGCGGAAAGGCGCGCGCTTATAGGCACTGATTATGTAGAGTGAGGAGGGTAAGAGGGGCATTATGAGATAAAGAGCGCACCTTTATTGCAACAGATGCCTTCGGTATTGGTGACTACGTCTTCCACAGACTTAATCTTGTTCTTCAAGAAACTGAGCGCTTGCGCTAATTATCAAAGGCAACCGGTTGACAAGTGGTTGAGCTGAGATGCAGTGCAGGGAGAGAGATGAAGGTGGAGCTTCAGAACGACAGGAAGAGGTTGCGGATGTAATGAAGTTAAAGCAGACAGAGACAGAGAAAGCCGGGTAACAAACAGGTAAGGTAAGGTAGCTTTAGCTTAGCTTATATTCACTAGACGGCGTGGTCCAAGGCCCAAGGATGGATGAGAGGGGTCCTGAGCATGTAATGTAATAAAATGCGGGCGGAACGTGACTGTTGATGTTATGTATGTATGTGTCTATATGTATGTATGCACCCTGCAGCTGCAGCACAATGCAGTGAGCGAGCTGGAGGCACGGCAGGCACGTTGTTTCTGTAGTCTATCGGCAGCGGCGTTGAATGACGATGCTTGCTTGCCAGGGGTGTTTTAGAATATCTCGTCTCGCCCATGTCTGGTCTGGCGAGGGCCTTGGATCGGTTGATGCCATGTTTCGCTGCTCAAGGCTCCCTTTTTTTCTTTTTTTTTCTTTCTTACATACAAGATGAGCCAAAACTCTATCGCCATCGCTCGAATTAATGATGGTGCTTGCTTCATTTCCACCATCATTCATAATTCGAAGCCAAGCTCCCTCCTCGCGTCGATCCCAGGTTCCCGGTGGGCACATCCGTGGAGGCAGTGCTGATAAACTGCACCTTACCGTACCGTCACCGCGACGGACAACCAGGGTGTCTGGTCAAGGACGTTTCGGACTCGGTTCTGGCAGGGGGAGCTTTCTCCAAACAAGCTTTGGGCGGCAGAAGCAAACACAGGGGCACTACCTAGCCCACCACCCTCCGCCGTGGCCATGAGGGTTTTGGCGGCATCCATCAGCTTCATTCAAGCTCGTGCGGGCCTGTGATGACGACGGTCCTCCACATCCTATCCAAACTTCTCCCCACAGCCATCAAAGCCAAGCACCGCTCCTAGGCTTAAACCGCATTCTGCCCCTAAGTCAAGCATAACAGTCTGACGATCTTCCCCCTTCTCATCATACTGGCACTCTTCAATTCGCCGCTTGCATAGCCCCCTTCAATCCACTTGAGCCAATATCCTGGTCCTCCTCCGTCAACTCTGGGTTGGCGGTTGGTACCTGTTATTTTATATATCAGACGGCTTGTTGTAGAACATTTGGCATCCAACGTCGTAGTCTGAAATGGGACTTTCATTTCCCCTTCGACATTATATGCACAATACCAAGACCATGCACCACGGCCCTACGCTTTTTTAAGGTAGCGTTCCATGCTCTTGGCGATGGCGATGCTCCTTTCAGGGTGTTATACTCAAGCCCCGCCTCACCAAACACCTGTTCCCGACACGTGCTGCCCCTCCTTCTCACTGAGGTGGAGGGTTGATTCAGGGGCCAAGCGAGCATGCCAGCATTGGCAGGCTTGCAAGGCTTGCAAGACGTTGTGACATTGAGGAATTCATGCACAGTTTATTTGTTTCCTGGTTTGGTCATAGAATAAATGGAGATCTGATGTCTGTGTATGTATTAGCCGGCCTTGAATCATTCATCAACTTTTTTTTCTTCCTTCTTCGTGGCTCGATGGCTTATAGAATGTAGTTCCGGGTTCTTGAATTACTCCGAAGAGTATTCAACATGTAGCATGGATCTGAATCTGTGTAAGACAGACGCTAATCCCAGACCGTGAAACGTGCAGCGTTTCCAGATTCCGTATCTTCGTAACGACGAGTACGAAACAAGCCAGTAAGGGTATGCCGAAGTTTCTCCTGCTCGCATTACCACTTGCTTAAATGTTTCAACAAGGAAATACGGGAAATAGGAACAGGTAACTCTGCTGAGCCAGCCATGACAGCGGCTGCCTTGACAGGTATGCAGTAGCGTGGTGAAACGCTAGATTAAGCATCAATGCGATGCTACCTTGGCAGCGGCTTAGTCGATTGAGGCACCAATGCCAAGAAGTACCCTTCGTAAACAAAGATCAGGGCCCATCACTTAGATCTGACAGGTAATTCGCATAATAGCTCTTGGTTGGGAATCAGAAGCCGCATGATGGATGTTCCTAGAGTAGAGATTGGGGGAAGCGAGCGTATAAAAGACGCTCAAAGAGGTGGCAGCCAAAAGGAATAGACTGGCTCCAGCGACCTCGAAGAACTATCGGTAACGAGAACATATCAACGTATTCTAAGAACGTAGAAGAAGACGACATTTAGATAGTAGTTACTTGGGGCCAGTACTCAGATGCCTAAAGTAAGAGAGATGAAAAGCCCTTTCTTTTACCTCCCCAATGGATGACTTACAAGTTTGGGGCAGCCATAGCACCTACCTTTTTCAGTATATACTCGTTGCGCGGAAGGCGCTGAGCTCGTATCATGTTTACTTACCTCAGGTGTCTTTGGGCCGCAAACCAACACTGCGTAATGATATCCTCCCCTCAACGTTTGATCACCTGCAAATGCATTTCAGTGACTCCCGTCACAAGAGATTGCAGGTTGTGCTCTCCAAAGCCTGGCCTAGATGATACCTCATCGTAAGCGCCGTTATTCGAATGGCCAATATGAGATCCGGCACAGAATCTCGGCAACTCCAAAATTTGACTCCCTAGATGTCGAATCGAACGGAATTGACACAGTTCAGGCTTGGCTGAGCCAAGTTCATGACTATGCAGGTCACAAAGATTCGGAGCCGCATTTCACGAAAGACCTGGGCGACGATTACACACCAAACTGGAAGCCTCACGATCTTTCTGTTGTGCCGATATCTCAGAATTATCACCAGTCTCGTCATTCAGGAAAACAAGCCTTAGATCCACGGCCCACTTCTCCAAAATCTGATTTACTTAAAAACGACACATACTCAGAATCGCGACATGAGCCTACTCTTGACATAGGGTCTGACAAAGAGAACGGGAAGAGATCTCGCCCACGTTTTACGCAGGATTATCATGAAGACAAATCTAACAAAACGTTGTTCGAGAGACAGCCAAGAAGGAAAACACGCCCAGACCGGTATACTTCCAAAGACACAGGGGGTAAGAGGGATCTCACGGCCGAGAGCGAAGAAGAGAGGCCAAACAAAAAGTCACGCTCAAAGAAACAAGAGATTAGAGCGAGTCGAGATATTATGAACAATTTTGCATCTGGTGCCATCCCAAACACAAGAGTGACGGTAAGTGGTGAAGCACAATCGAGCGGATTTTTCATACCGAGTAAACTAATACTCGTGGGTTTTGTCAGATGAGGCCCAATCTTACTGCTGGACTGTTCCTGAACGGTCGATCCTCAACATACGGACGAGGTACGCTACTTCTCGGACTCGATTTAGTCTTTTCTCATCATAACATAGGGGCTGACATTACACTCAACGATACGACGTTTATTGAAACATGCGGTGAAAAACGGAGAGCTGACGGGGTTCCCCAACACAATACAAGTGAGAACTCTAGCGGCCATGATGATGTTTCAAATAGCGGCCATACTTCACGGAGCGCCACGGAACTCCCTAGAACCACAACAAATGATGAAGAGGGAAAACTACAAAGCCTTGCGGATGAACTTTCTCAGGGGAATCAACAGAACACACAAAGGGATGGGTCTGAGGCTCATAGTGGCTCTGTACCATCGACAGAAACCACTCAAGCATCTGACTGCGAGGCCCCTGAAGCGATGCTAAAGAGGCTTGTTGAGACAGGCATATTCGATGGCACAGGTATTTTTAAAGCAACTTCCCATAGGACTATGGAGCCAAATATTGAACATCACGCTTGCCCTGGCACGAATGGTACAGAACAATCGAGCAAGAATCCGACATATCAGGATAAAGGGGAAATGACCGACCACAGCAGGCAGTCAAAACTCGGACCAAACATACAGGCTGCCACAAAGTATACACAATTTCATCTTAATGGCGGCGCAAAAGATGCGCCAGTATTAACCGAAGCATCGTGCTCTCGGTATGAACAAGAATTGCCAGTTCCGATTTGCAGCACCTCTCCACAAGTTCAACCTCCAATTCTACCAATGTCGGTAGTTGATAATAACGCAGACAGTATTACTGAGGTACCATGCGTCGAACAACCCCAAGGTACGAAGAGTATCTCTACTACTAATAGTCGGTGTCACCCGCTATCTCGAATCTCAGAAAGAGGCGATCGTTACACTGAGCAAAATGATCAGCCAGGCTCTAAGTTCCCAAGTCTCAGAGCGGAGGATTTCATTGGTGAGCACTCCTACCACCGAGACCTCACGGAAAAAAACGAATCTCAGTGGGAGGGTTCGTTCGTTCACCGAGGACTACAGTCCCATGATATCATGATACCAATTTCAGGTTCTCCAGGCTTTCAAAAAGCATGCCGGTCACTTAATGGGCATATTAGTAGTACAGGACTCGATTCGGCCGTCTTCCCAACAGTGTACTCAGAGATCTGCTCGGATCACCGAGACACACAGCATGATAATAGGCAACCTACACAGCCAGACTACTGCGAAGACAGTGAGACAATTCAAGAATTCATTAAACGGATCGAAGGCGAGGTAAGTATGAAGTGGGACAACTCGCAGCAGTCTGTTGGTGTTGGCTGTATTAGCGATAGAGAGGAATGTGCCGACAGCGAGTCGTTCGAAATGGACAGCAGAGAGGATTTGTCGCAATGCAGCGATATAGAGTATGATGAGGCAATCCAGCAGAGCTTACGCGGCATGTTCTCAAGCCTTGATGAAGGATCTGTATCGGCAAACCAGGTCGTAGCAGAAGATTGGGAACACTCAGGTTATGAACAAAGTCGATACTGGACAGGAAAATATCACGATGAGCATGAGGTCTCTGATGCGAAAATGGTTGGTTTCTGGAGGCCTAATCACTTTTAGGATGATGTACTCGTGTCTTGAATCTTTGGTATAGCGGTACGTAGCTGGGTTAGGATTCATTACTCGGGTTCTTGGCCCTTCCATTTGTTTCTTAAGGACTGAACATCAATGCCACACTGTTCTGCTTTGACAATGACAGCACCTGCTTTGCCGACAACTGGAGCATCGATCATTTTGCCATCTAGGGTCCAGGCGCCTCGACCGGACGCCGAAGCCTTCTCATCAGCGATGGCGATCCTGATAGCCCACTCAACTTCGTCCTGATTCGGAGCAAACATACGCTGGACGACTTCAACCTGGCTGGGATGTATGCACTGCTTTCCGTTGAAGCCAATGGATTTTCCTCCAGCACACTCCTCCTCGAGAGTTTTTAGCCCATGCTCTCCCTTATAGGAGGTGCAAACCAGATCAATTGCACTTGGCAATCCGGCTGCCCGGGCTGCAGTGACTATAGCAGATCTTGCATAGAGAAACTCGGTCAGAGACGGGGTTCTTGTCAGCGAGAGATCAAGGGCGAAATCCTCGGCTGCGAAGATGAAGCCACTCAGGTAGGGAGATGCCTTTGATATCTGAGCCAAGTCCATGATAGAGCGAGCTGACTCGATAAGAGCTATTATCTTTATTGGGCTATCTGCCTCGGCTGTGTGTCGCTCTGGAGCGACATGTCGGAGAACATCAGTAACGAAGGTTAGGTCAGCCGCAGAATTGACTTTGGGAACCACGACAGCATCAACATGAGACAATGGCGCGAGTGTGGTCAGGTCTGAGAGAGCAAAGGGAGTGGACACAGCGTTGATGCGAACAGCCAGCTCAGAAATGCCAGAAGGCCGAGCTTTGAGGTTGGAGATGTGCTCGCGCAGCTGATTGCGGGCTGTGTCTTTGAGAGAGGGTGTAACTGAGTCTTCCAAGTCATAAGTTACGTTGTCTGATTTGAGGCCGAGAGACTTGGTGAGCATCTTTTGCGATGAGCCTGGCACTGAGGGGGGCGTCAGTCTCGGCATTCAATCAAGAGTGAGGAGTCCTGCTTTACCATAGAGCAAAGAGCGGCGGATAATGGATGGGGACCGGGCAGCCATTTCGTGGGGGTTTACGGGTTATTAGATACGAGCACAAATACTTGTCGATTGCGCATATGAGCTGCGCTTGTAGATGATATATCCTGAAAGACCGAGGTACCTTGGGCTATCACGACTTATACCTTAACTTAGGTAGTCTAGTACACAGAAATGGAGTAGGTCGGGGCCCACCCACCGCACCTCAAGCTCATGACGTCCTACCGTATAAGACAAAATCTGCCATTTCCCACCGCCTGCCTAAATCAACGACAGGGGTTTTTGCTGTCGCGGATCATGCTCCATCCCTTGCGAGGCTTGATAGAGGGCCAGCTTACACAGTAATTCTGAGAGTGACAGGTAGCTTCAAAGCTCCACGTTTTGTTACCTTGTCACCTACGACCCCTTGGCCAACTACGACAATCTTTCTCAACAAATCGAACCGAATCGAATACGAACAGTTTCTGAACGAAAAGTATAGATATCACGAGCTGCATATTCCCCAATACGTCGACTTATTAGCTATCATGGATGCCACACAACCACAGCCCGCGCCGGGCAGTCTTAGCTGGCGCCTCAGCGCGCATCCCATTACGCTGCTCACGTTTCTGGGATTCCGGATATGTGCGCCTCACACGGCATTCCTTTAAAGCGCAATTGCTAATGTCCTGCAGCAAGTGTCCTGATCTACTTTCTCGGTCTGTGGATCATAAAAAGCATGTGCGTAACCTCCCTCGGACCTCTGCAGCGCCTCAGAGCACTAATCTTCTTGGTAGGATCATGATCTTCATCATTACGATACTCCTCCTCGCCGCCGACTTCTACTACATCAAGAACATTGCCGGTCGTCGCCTTGTAGGTCTGCGCTGGTGGAATGAGGTCGATCCCCAAACGGGAGAGTCGCAGTGGGTATTTGAGAGCAGCGAGCCAGGTACCAAGACCGTCAACCCGACCGATAGCCGCTTTTTCTGGCTCGCTCTATATATCCAACCTATGTTGTGGGTTCTCATGGCTATTCTTGCTCTTGTGCGACTGCAGTTCTTGTGGTTGCCCCTCGTTGGTACGTTTGATAGAATACCCCTTGAATCTGTGATTCAAATACAAAGAGCACGCTTTGTATCTATGCCGGATTCAATTCCACTAACATTTGGCACTAGTTATTGCTCTTGTCCTCACCATCATGAATACTCTAGCCTTCTCGCGATGTGACAAGTTCAGTAACGCTTCCAGCATTGCTGGTAGCGCTTTTGGAACCGGCAATCTAGCCGGAAGCCTCGCAAGCAACATGGTCAGCAACTGGTTTTCTCGCAGCTGAAAAAAGAAGAGAAAAAAGCAAAGAGTGTTCTTCGAGTGGATGAAGCAGAGCGAATCTTGACTCCGTCACTCCGCTTGAATGAACGAGAAAGGGGAATTTGGCCTGCGTTTTGTGTTAGGACTTTGCAAGGGAGACATAGGGAGACATCGATGCCGGTATGAGTCGTTGGAGTTGTAAATTAAAACTACAGGGTTTCTTTATCACTGGGTGCGAGTTGTCGACGACGGTTTGCAGTTTCACGCGCCTGTGGGCGGGAAATGTATGAATAATAGCTTGATCAGGACCGCTCTGGCGTCAATCATTCACGACCTAACTAAAACGCTCTCGCTATAGGGACTGCGCGACGCTATCGATATTTTCCTGCTAATTGTGTTCGTGATAGAACCAAATTCCATGTTTCCATGAATGCTGCAACAAGCAAACTTCATGCAAAATATCGTGAAGAGTTCAGGGCCTCTGTCAACATGGCAAAAGAAATCTGTGGTATCTCTCTAGGTAGGTCTGCATCTGATCAATAACGGACCAGCTATGTCGTCAACAAGCCGAGAATATACAGCACCGTTACGATGAACAAAACTAAGCAGGCTGCGTAGGCGACCCAAGAAATGAAGCGTAAGAACAAGATATAGCATAATCCAAAACTCCAAACCCCATGACACACCCGCATCAGGAGTCAATACCTTCAACGGGACCTGGATTTCTCTGGTCTACAGAAGGCTTTTTGCCCATGCGAGGCGGTACTATCGTCTCGCAGCACGCTCGATTTCATCATCCAGTTGCCGCTCCTCTTCCTCTAATCTTCGGATCTCATCGACTGTCATACCATCTTCGACCAAGTGAGCCACGTTGGATGACATACCCTGTGGTGTCTGAGCACCGCTGTGGGCTGCACGATCATGGGACCCGATGGATGAACGAGGCACGCCGCCGGGTGGGGGGGTTGGAGCGACACCACGATCTCGGTCGAGGCTGCCGAGAGCAACAGGCTGCATATGGTTTTCATCTGAGTAGGGCGAGTTGGGTGAGTCGGTAGCACGGGCATGAGTTTCCTTGTCCACAGCGTATGTTTGCTGTGTGACATACTCATCACCAGCCTTCTTGCTGCGTCGACGCCGGCGAAGAAAGAACCATACCAGAGCACCGATGATGAGAAGGCCGCCAATGACGGCACCAACGGCAATGCCAGCAGTTGCGCCGGTTGAGAGCCCGCCGCCGCCGTCACCGGAACTTTCTTCAGCCCCTGAAGTCGACGAAGGTGAAAGGGTGGCTGTTGCCGATGAGGATGAGGAAGCGGTAGATTCCAAGGTCCCCTGTTGACTATTATCCTCTTTGAGTTGGGTATCTAGTTCATCGATCTCTGTGCTGTTGTCGGTATTGGTGACAGTGAAGAGCTCTGTTTTGGTGTAGCCTAAAGCTCCGTCCTTCTTCCAGTCAATTTGAATGTACATCTCTTTTCCGTAATATTTCGAGGTTCCGCCTGAAAAGTTGAGGGTCACAGAATTGTTGTCAACTGCGTTGCATGATGTATCAGTAACTTGAAGATAGTACGAGGGCGTGTCGCATTCCGAGCAAAGCATACATACCATCTACGAGTTGTCCATCGGGCTTCGCATCGCTAAATTCGGCATCACCCAAAGGTGCAATGTTGTCGTCGTCGATAACCTGCCATTGGACGGTATCGAGCGTGGTATTGGGGTCGGTTTTGGAAAAGCCGATTATCTTTTTGTTCTGGTCGCTATCCTTGAGCTGAAAAACATAACCATCGGCGAAGTTTGTGGAATTGAAGACGATGACCTTGGTCTGTGAGCTGGAACCTCCCACGCCTGTGTTGCCGTTGCCTGAGCCGTCAACAACACCGTCTGAGTCGCCTTTGCTGGAGGGCTGTGCAAAATTGATATTGGTGGAAGAGGGTGCATTTTGCATGTCCTTGACAATATCGCCCGTATCGTCCCGATCAATTTGGTTGGCTATTTGTTCCATTTTGCGGTGTTGGCTTGTCTTGTCCGGCGTATGTGTTGGCGATCGGTGGTATATCCGAATCAAACAGGTTCTCTTAGACCTCTCGTCCGCTTCTCAAGGCCAGCACAGCACGTTGGAGTTGAAAATAGTTTGTTAAAGGCCGAGTCCTTTGTCGATAATCGTCCGATTTTGTTTATACTCGTTTATACTTGTTTGTCGAGTGTGGTCAGGTCAGATTATTCCAAACGGCCGATTTGGTATCTTGGGACAATACGTCCCTGAGGACAGAAAACGAAGCAAACCGCAACACAAGCAAAAAAAAAAAAAAAAAAAAAAAAAGTGGTTTTATTAGAGGGTTAATTGCAATATCTTTGTATATGGTAAGACGGGGGGCAAAGATGACAGAAGCAGAGGGAACAAAGAAAACAGGCCCAAAGGGAGTTCCTCCGTCTTCCCTGGTCTCATTGCTGCGGCAAGCCCAAGCGTGGTTCAGCCCTGGCTTGACTGGCTTGTCTTGACTTGGTCTGGATGGTTGCAAACGCAGACCTGGGCGTACTCAGCCTGGCCAGCTAGGACTTCGTATAGAGGGTACTTTGAGAGTACAGCACAGTGTTTGTCCATAAGGGGCAAGCTTGACGATGGACGGCTCCGCTGCGTCCCCTCCCTAGGAACAA